GCCAAGTGATTCACATTGACACCCAATGTTCGGCGCTCATCCGCTCTCAAAGGCTTCTGTTATTTCATTTTCCTCAGAATCCCACGGTGCTTCCAATTTCATCATCAGCACCGCGGCTCCTACGGGACCTTGTGATTTGAGTAGCGGCATTGTTCCATCCTCGGACTGTTCGATTCACGGCGGAGAGCGAGAAAACGATGGGAAAGCCAATGACACGCACCGAACCTTCTACCGGGGGGGATTTCAGTTAATAAAGTTGTGTGCGAGCGAAGGCCTGGTCACATTCGACCGGTTCTGACGGGCCCGAAAGTTTGAGACTGAATTGAACCAAGACGGTTTTGGTGAAGTGGTTGGCACAGATTTTAGGGTGTGAAGTGCACCTTGAAGGGAGAGGCAGTTATTTTAGTTTGGCCCACTGATTTGGTGCACGTTTGCCAAAACACATGGAGCAGCAGTTGCCATGAAACACACTTTGATAGCATCACCCCATTGCTTCAAAATAGTTCTACTTCTTGGAAGACTCGGCCATAACAAGTCTGAGCACACAGACACGATACACACATATTGTGTGACTTACAGTAAGCCTTGACATCCATGAATCCTCCGAGAAAACGATAGAAAAATGCTTCTTCCAACTCCAGAACTTACCGTGATTTGCTGGGTTTTCTTCAGTTTCCTCAATATCAGCATGTCCCAGCGATAGTTGCATTCATAGCTACATTGCAAAATGCTGATAGCTAATTAACCTAATTGTTTAATGTAGATTTGCCGAAATATTAACCTAAGAAATGAGTTGCCGTCCACAACTTCTCACCCACATCCTCTAAAGCAGGGGTGTCAAACTCTGGCCCGTGGGCCAAATTTGGCCCGCTTTGTAATTATATTTGGCCCGCGAGACAATACCAAATGACTACTGAGCTGCCCCCGGTATTATACTGTACAGCGCATTCACCGCTAATACTACAAATCCCACAATACCCTGTTGTTGTTTTGGTGCGTCAATCAGGACAGGACCCAGAAACTCCCTCTCCGACTTCACACTACAACTGTCACTGACATTGATGTGTTTTTTTTATTTATAATTTGATTTTGCATGTCTTCACTATTAACTTATATATAATGAATGGTAATAAGCGTTGCTTGTTCCATGTTCAATGTTAAAGCAAAATTTGTTTCAGTCCATATTAAAAGGTTCATTTGTTCAATGTTGGCCCGCGACTTTGTTCAGGTTTTAAATTTTGGCCCACTGTGTTTTTGAGATTGACACCTGCTCTAAAGAATCACAGGAAATGTAGTTCCAGAAATATGATTTTTGCCTAAATATAAACCAAAGCTCATAGGTTTGTTCCATTCACACGGCCTGGACGCTCCCAAAACACATCATCTTTAGAAGAATAAGTAGAAGTAGTCAAACTAACGTCGAAGAACACAAGAATACATTCACTACTTTTTGTCATTTTGCTCTTATGAATTATACAGAACTTCATCTTAAAGGATTTACCTGCTCTAAAATGCCTGGATTATCCCCCCATGCTTTATGCAAATGGGGCTGGAAGAATACAGCGATTTTTCATTCTTATAAATAATTTCACAAGTAAAACTTGCACATCAGTAATATAAATGGATCCTATTCTTGGAAACAATAGACAATAGGACGCGTTTGTGTATTCGCAGTGAACTGCTCGGCACAAATGAAAAAGGGCTGTTGCATAATAAAATTAGGTTTGTAAGATGAGTCTAGACTGACCACATTTTTTGCCCCAACAGGACAGCAGCTTTTACTCAAAACAGTGTTTAGTCTGAACTGCGCTCAGCGGGCAGGAATGCTCTTGAAATTGCGCTCTGTTTTCAGCTGCTGGGTCAGTCGGATGGATTCTTTTCTGGCGTTTGAAGGCTCATAAAAAGACAATTTTTTACAAAATCTGGGATAAAATACAGACCTTATCGAAGTAAAAGCTATGCTGAAGGTGTGTTGGACCATGCAGAGAGCAGAGAAATGATGATAAATCTTCTCTACGTTGCTTTACTTCGTGGTTTTCCTAGAAGTATAGAAGACTCGTTTTAGTTGGGTTTGAAGGTTGCTCAGACAAAAACATAACATATGCAGAGGTCAGAGGAATTGCGTTGAGCATTTTTGACGTGATGTAAACAAAATTTTGGATTTATTTATCAATTTAATCAGTAGTCAAAATCCACTTTAGTTTCATTGCTTAATGAATCCAATAATGATAATAGTTCCAAAGCTTTTAAATGCCAGGGCGCAAGTTATGGCAGTATTGACGTTGACATACCGGCTATGATGGATCGCGCACTTCAAGCAGACCTTAACTCTGCAAGTTGACTTTCATATGTTATTAAATAAATGTAAACCGCCGGCTGCCTGGAAGGTAGGAAATCAATTTTAAACTTCAGGTTTGCTTTGGAAAATGATCCGCGCTAATGTTAACTATATTGGATTTGTAGTTTATAGTGTATAATATATAACGCGATGCCGGCGGTGTTGTCCTTGAACACTCTGCCTCTGCTTTCTTCTCTTTGTGAAGCGTTGTGAATGTGACACCAGAGGGAAGTGAATCTGTTGTAATATGAGTTCAGGTGCAGCGCTGAAGAGGGGAAGAGGGTGCATGTGTGCGATTGTGTGATTGAGTCAGAAAAACCAAAGAGAAGCGAGAGACGAGGGGGAGTCTCCCTGCACATGTGTGTGTGTTTGGAGAGCTGGTGTTGACACAGACACAGCCGCTCCATTGTCCTCCTCCATCTCCAGCCAGGATGTTTGAGGGACACCTCATCGCTTGGCTCCCTCTAATCTCTGCTGGAACCCAAAACCCTGCGGGCCGGAGGGCCGAGGCCCTCGACGACGCTGTCAGGACGAGAGGAGGCGCGCGACGGGGAGAAGAACCGGGAGGGTTGAAAATTATGGAGCAGTCAATTACAGATTACTCATGAGCTGTTTTAAAATTGCAGGCAGTAAAATAACCCGAGGGATTACACTAAATCCGCCTAGTAATCCTCTGTTTCAATGGCTTTTGATTTAGTTAAGTCTTTTTTAATATAAAGTTTGAATTTTAATATAAAGATACGGACGAAGTTAAACTCGCAGAACTTCAGGAGACACATCAGGACACTACAGCGACTCCATCTATCACTGTTATCTCCCATCATTTCTCCATTAAATGTCTGTATTTCACTTTTAATCGTGTGGGTTTATTTATTTTTTTGCTTTGACAAGTTACAAGTTGGCCTTCTTAATAATTAAACCTCACTAAGTTTGATTATTGCGTATCCTGTTACACTGGAAACAAGGTGACAGAAGCGCTGGAACGCAGACTGGCCGTTCTGTAACCCAGGAAATTCAGTCCAGTTCAATTAGCAGAAGACTAGTGCAACGGTAGTGCAAAGCAGCGAGCCTCAATGAGAAACATGTCACAGTGGAGTTTGCGGCTTTGGCCTGAGATTCTCAATTTTTAATCAGAGCAGACTGCACCGTGACAGTCGGCATCTGGCATTTGTTTGAGCAAGTGAACTTGGAAGGAAGGATGCAGCTCGGTGACACAAAGTTGACTTTTGTTTTTGTACACAAGTGTTTTTCATGTTAGTTGGGCAGGATTGGGCAAAAAGTTTGGCTGAATGACTTTATCTCCTGTATGTGTTTACTTAACATCTATAGTGATCTATAAGCCACATGATTGATTAATAGACACATATACAGAAGCTACAAACAGCCTCCGACATCACCCCGATGAAGGCGAGATAGCAAAAAAACATTTGGTGAGATGGATGAGCCTCGGCGCTGTGGGGAGGATTTGCATGATGCGTGACAGAAATCAAAGAAAAAGCGGGATTTGGTTAAAAAACGCGTCCTCTCCGACCGACAAAGCAGAAGTGTTTTCTTAATTTCAACCGCTCTCAAAGATTAATTATTCAATTTAAGTATCGTCGCTGATAATGTACGGTGGACTGGTTTTTATCCTCGAGGAGACGGCGGTGGCCCCCAGGAAAGCAATATAAGTGGATTCATTTCAAGATGCCTGTTCCTCCAAAGACTTTATTAGATTTAGTTAATGAGAGAGCAAGGCGGGCTGCCTGGCTGAGCGCAGGTTGGGGAGCTGGAACGTAATTAAGCCGTGAGCCTGACGATGCCACTGTTACACACTTTGATTAAAAACACGTTCAACAGCTAATCTCCAACAAATTAAAGCAGTTACATCGTTTGGCATGGTCACCTTTGGTTCTTAAACGAGATAAATCCCCCTTTTCTATCCCTGCTTCCTCCTCCTCCTCCTCCGTTCACACCACCTCCACACCTTCAACCCTCCCTCTCCATGTCTGCACCCTAATTCTCCCCAGTAAGTAGGTGTAGCTTCGCCTGGTGGTCAACCAGCCGCTCCGTCTGTCTGCGATGTTGTTAACCCCTGTGATTTTTATGTCTTCCATATGCCCCGTTGGGGCCTTTATGGCTGGACTGTGTAATACAGGAGAAGCCTGTATATTTCCAGGCCAGCACACATAAGTCTTCTTGTCTGAGCTATAATGAGTGTTAGTATAGATTTCCTGTGGCTCAAACACTAGGCTTAATTGACCTGAACAGCTCTGAGTGACTTGGCACCTCCCGTCTCAACCTTCCCTCCTCCCTCACCCCCCATCAAGACCTTTCTGTGGGACAAAGAGGCTTTTGTCCCCCGGCCTGCGCCACAGCGCTCTAAACCTTTGTTGACTGTTTCTGTCTGACAGAGCAAATAGCTCTGGCCTGCTTTTGTTTATTGTCATATTTTGAAGTTTGAACAAAGTTTACACAAAGCCCCATTTTCTGACGTTGTTTGCTGCCTGCAGGGGGAAAGCAGAGAGGGAAGAAAAGAAATGGGTTTATTGTTTGTTGAATTTTTGACTGTCTGCTGCTGTCTGACCTCTTATCTTCTCATCTCTCCCTCTGCTTTCTCTCAATCCCTCCCTCTCTCTCTCTCTCTCTCCCCCGTCTCTCACCCCGCCTCCCTCGCTCGCAGGGATCACATATACACGGTGGACACAGACACTGCCAACAGTGACGAGATCTTTTTCAGTAAGGTGAGTGAGACGTCTGTCTCTTCGAGGGTGTGTTGTTCTCGGCGTGCCGTGATTGACAATGTAACCCTAATAACCTCGCGCTGCTCTGCGTTCGCGAGTGCACGTGGGCGAGAGCGTGCATGCGTGTGAGCCTGCCAGCAGTCTTACTCACGGTGACCCCGTTAAGAAGATTATCCAATCAATCAGCTAGCAAACCTGCCTGCGTCATCCACGCTCATCAGTGGGACAGTGGAAGGTCTGATGGGTGTGTAACGGAAGCTGAGAGGACAGCGGAGGAAGTGTGGGAGGGAGGGATGGATGGGAGAGGACGAGCAGGGGAGGAAAGAAAAAAAAAAACAAAAAGGGGAAACAAAGAGGAGATAAATTACAGAAGGGCGAGAAAGACAAGATGGATGCAGACGGGGGAAGAGGATCCCATTGTGTAGTTTGAGATTATTCATAAAACAGCACCTCATATTTACATAGGCCCTCGGCTGTAATAACCCTCTCTCCGCTCCATTCCAGCCACTCCTGGCTGGCATCACTTGCCCTTAACATAATGCATGCAAACAGAATTCAAACGGGGCCGTTCTCGTGTATACAACAACCCGCCGTCCCTCCGCCTCATCCACTTCAATGTCAGAGCCCGACGAGTGGGTCTTAATGAGAGCAGGCTGCAGATGAAAGGCTGGTGGGAGACGCGCAGATTGATTGATGACTGAGGGTCTTTAATCAGTGGCTCAGCTCCAAACATGTTGTACAACAGTGGCGGCCACGCAGCGGTCTGAACCTGTGGCTGAGCGCCGACCCTCAGGCCGCGCAGGCCACAGCGTCTGTGTGTGTTAATGGGGCTGGGTAGCAGATATAGCTTAGCACTGACTGATAAGTGTGTGTGACGGTGTGTGTGTGCTTTTAGTTGACTGATGGGTTCGGGCGACGGCTGACCCACAGGCCAAGGCAGTGCATGTGTGTGTGTGTGTGTGTGTGTGTCTGTGTGCAAGGATGGCCGGCCTATCAATCCACGGAAACCGGCTCAGGATCCGTCCTTGGACAGACTCCGTTCTGATCCGGGGTCAGTGTCGTATTTCCCTTCTCTCTGGCAGAGAATTAGACGTTCAAGGAGGTAAACTGATCTCCAACCAGTGCTTAGAATAAAGTTCACCTCCGAGCAGGTGGCTTATGAGGGAAATCAATGACGGGGAATCTCAGATGATGATTATTGATCACACTATGGATGGGTTATTGAGCTCTATAATGCCGTCTGCTTTTTTTTTTTTCCTCCTGCCACAGTGTTTAGCTCGTTTGTTTTCTGGCTCTTCCTCTCCTATATGTTCATCTTTTTTTTTCTTTTCTTTTAGAAAATGACATGGAAGTCCAGACAGGCAGATGTGGACACCTGCAGAATGAAAGGGAAGCATAAGGTAGAGGAAACACACACTCAAACACACACACACACCCTAACTTCCTTCAAAGAACAAATATCACCGTGTTCTTCACAAAACACTTTAGTCAATCACACATTAAGCGCTGCAGACAGCCTGTACCAGATGTAACTGCCGACAGTCTCTCTGTTTCTTTGTCTCTCGCTCACATTAACAGACACAAGACCCTGAAGGTGCAATAACGCACTTCTTGCAATTCATATAACCTTCTGCTATCACAATTTATTGTGGTAGCGGAGCTCTTCAGCGGGAATTTTCATATCGAATAGCGGCATAATGCTAATTTTCTTTAGATTTAAAAAGACGGACCGGATTATTGTTGGAGAAGGACATTAAACGGCGCATTAGGATCTGCTGTAAATACGTCTTTATGTGCCGTGAAGAAATCATACATTTCATTATTGCATGCTTAACTTGCTATACGTGACTCTGGCTGGTCTGCGAAGCGTTAAAGCTAAAGGGAAAGAGGAGACACACAAACCATGTCTGTAGTGGATAAAAGTGTTGATTGTAAAAGACACAGATGTCACCACCTTCTCTCTGTTTTTGTCTTTAAATTCTTTCCCGTCCTGCGCACCCTGAAGGATGAGTGTCACAATTTCATCAAAGTCCTCCTGCAGCAAAACGACGACACCTTGTTTGTTTGCGGAACAAATGCTTTCAACCCCTCCTGTCGAACCTACAAGGTAAGGAAGCGTATGGATCTGGACGCTCGCACACATTTGCTCGTATATAAAAGCTGCTCCGCGGTGCGCTTTGCCCTTTTTTGACCTCAGCGATGTGTCATGCATAGTGTGCGCGCACGGCGTCTTAAAACTCCTCTTCACTTTGCGTTTCTTGCTCTGTGACGCACACACAAACACTCTGAGGGGGATTTTGTTTTGACCCCGGCCATGAGAGAGTTTAGAGGGGGTCGAGCTATGGACATAGATGGATGACTTTCACAACTCAGCAGGCCCTCCTCCTGCGTCTTTATCTCCAGGTGTACTTTGACACGCTCAATTTAGAAGCGGAGAAACCTAACAACATGCCGGCTTTCATGCACGCTCACGCACACACACACACTGTGTGAAATTTAAGCATCGGCAGCACAGTCCTGAAATCCGATTCAACCTTCTCCTGTAAACATCTTCCTGCTCATATTCATGTGGGCATGTCTGGAATGGTTTCAAGATTCCTTCAGGAAAGGCAAAACTGTGAAAAGAAATGATGCATTTTATTGACCTTGGGTCAATAAAGCGAGCAGGTAGACAGTGAGATCGACTCGTTGGACAAAAATAGAGATGTCAATAAAAAATAGACGCAGAGCGAAGAATAAAAGCTGGGTATATGGGGAAGCAGATGGACCAGCATAAAAAGCAGATGGGCTGTGTTCAAACTGCAGCAGAAAATGTCCCAATTTTTTTCTTTCCCGGTGACATAAATCTGGCGTTTTTTTGATGCTTCAGTGTGAAAAGTGGGCAGAATTGCCATTTACAGTGAGTCAGTCGTAGTTCATTCACAAGACAATGTTCGTGCCTCTGGAGCAGCTCGGTGGACCGACTGTGAGGGCAGAAAAGTTACCTGTTTCCTTGGTATTTATCTGAGTTTTTATCAAACTTTTAAGCACAGATTGTGACGGAAATCTGCCCAAAACGCACCAGAGATCAACGTCAGTGTCAATTAATTCAAGTATGTTGTAGAATCAGACTGCAGCTGTCATCCAGACGAGTCAGATGTGAAACACGTTGTACAGACAGGAGAGAGTCAGACGCTCAGACAGACGAGCAGACAGTAAAGAAAGGACAGAAAGACGGGGAGCCTCAGCAGCAGCAGCTCTGTCCTGAAGGATGTTATTGTTTGGTTTGTTAGGATGGTCACAGCACACGGAGATGTTATCTAGGTGGCCTGTGGGGAAAACTCTTCTGCTTTGGTTCACTAGATCTGTTTACCAGAAAAACAAGACATCTCCGCTCCGTTGCCTTTGTGGTTCAGCATGCTAAGCACACACAGAGCGAACGTCCTTTCAATTCGCCGAGTCCTCCTGCAGGGAAAGTGGAATTTATGTCTCCGCATTTATCAGGCGTGGTTAGCTTTTATAGCGCCTCCGGTTATGGTTTCAAGGTTTGTGTTGTAGCTGTTACTGCACTGATATTGCTGCTAGTCTGCTGGAGAGGCGGAGTGTCGTAAAAACGCACAGCGTGGTTTGGTGAAATGGCCACGCATGTGCGGACACATGAAAGCTGCCCGTGACATAAAAATCTCTTTGATTCCTTATTTGTGTGAAAAACAAAACAGTTCGTTAAAATATTTCTCTATCAGTTGAACGAGTCCTTGGTCCACTAACGTGTTTTGTATTTTGGTCTTTACTTAAAACATGATTCTATTAATTATTTAGTTGATTAAAACGACCATTTTAGTTGGGAAATAATTGAAATATCATTAAAATCTGATGATATGTGAAGGCTGCAAAAGGAGCAAGATACTGAGAGAAAAATGGCCACTGATGACATGCACATACAAATGCCCGGGCACATGCAAAGGAAAAAAGTGCGGATACATTCATCCAAACACTGACAACTGTGCAAACAGGCAACCTCACAACACACACATTTTATAAAAGCATCACACACACACACACACACACTGTACTGCTGGCAGACTGGCAGACCCTCTGGGCAGATACCAGGCCTTTGATGGCGTGCTGGGCTCATCCACACTGCATGGTCAAAAGTGTGTGTAGTGGTGTGTGTGTGTGTGTGTGTGTGTGTGTGTGTGTGTGTGTGTTTGTGGTTAAATCCACCTTGGCCACAGTTTGCCTCTCCATCTCCCCAGCGTGACAGGGCTGAAAAGAGCTTCTGTTTTGGGGCCAGCCTCATCCCACATTAATCAACAATGCTGCGAGGGCAAGCGGGAGGG